CCACAAAGTGGTGCACCAAGAGTGTCCACCTCAGGTAATTGGGGAGGCTGAGCCACTGGGCCCTATAGGACACACAAAGCCCACAAGGGGGTGCACCAAGAGTGTCCACCTCAGGTAACTGGGGAGGCTGAGCCACTGGGCCCTGTAGGACACCTAGCACACAAAACCACTCTACCAACACAGGGAAGCAGACAAAATGCGAAGACAAAGAAACAGGTCACAAATGACAGAAATGGAGGACAGCAAACGACTGGATATAGAGTTCAAAACCACGGTTCTAAGATTTTTCAAGAATTTTATGGAAACCGCCGATAAATGTATTGAGATCCTTAAGAAATCTAGTGAGACCCTCGATGTTGTGATAAAGGACCAACTAGAAATTAAGCATACACTGACTGAAATAAAGAATATTATACAGACTCCCAACAGCAGACCAGAGGATCGCAAGAATCAAGTCAAAGATTTGAAATACGAAGAAGCAAAAAACACCCAACCGGAAAAGCAAAATGAAAAAAGAATCCAAAAATACGAAGATAGTGTAAGGAGCCTCTGGGACAACTTCAAGCGTACCAACATCAGAATTATAGGGGTACCAGAAGAAGAGAGAGGGCAAGATATTGAAAACCTATTTGAAGAAATAATGACAGAAAACTTCCCCTACCTGGTGAAAGAAATAGACTTCCAAGTCCAGGAAGCGCAGAGAACCCCAAACAAAAGGAATCCAAAGAGGACCACACCAAGACACATCATAATTAAAATGCCAAGAGCAAAAGACAAAGAGAGAATCTTAAAAGCAGCAAGAGAAAGATAGTCAGTTACCTACAAGGGAGTACCCATACGACTGTCAGCTGATTTCTCAACAGAAACTATGCAGGCCAGAAGGGAGTGGCAAGAAATATTCAAAGTGATGAATAGCAAGAACCTACAACCAAGATTACTTTACCCAGCAAAGCTATCATTCAGAATTGAAGGTCAGATAAAGAGCTTCACAGATAAGAAAAAGCTAAAGGAGTTCATCACCACCAAACCAGTATTATATGAAATGCTGAAAGGTATTATTTAAGAAGAAGAGAAAGAAGAAGAAAAAGGTAAAGATAAAAATTATGAACAACAAATACATATCTATCAACAAGTGAATCTAAAAATCAAGTGAATAAAAAATCTGATGAACAGAATAAACTGGTGAATATAATAGAAACAGGGGCATAGAAAGGGAGTGGACTGATAATTCTCTGGGGGGAAGAGAGTGTGGGGGGTGTGGGAAGAGATTGGACAAAAATCGTACACCTATGGACAAGGACAGTGGGAGGGGTAAGGACAGGGAGTGCGGTGGGAACCGGGTGGAGGGGAGCCATGGGGGGGTGAAGAGGAATAACTGTGTGGACGAAAGGGGCCACATGCTGACCTGACAAGCTCAGGAGAGGCCTGCACGGCAGTCTTGCAAACTCGGAGACCTAAAGTAATCACAAAGGATGGTCTGAAATTAAACTTTAACTAAAAGCAGTTATGGTGGGCAGTTACGTCCTGGGCAAGTATCTTCACTGACTAAGTCAACCTTTACCTTAACTAAGCCTATCTGTCTTTTTGCATCTATGATAACATACCCTTGAAATGTCTGGGTAACTTGTGACTTCCCTTTATCTGGAGCCCCTGGGGCACAACCAAATGTGCTGGGCCCCAGGACAGATACCACAAATTCCTTCATCATAAGTATGTGTCCATCCTTTTACTTTTTATCCAATCCCAGGGGTTCCCCTCCCCCCTCCTTTGCTTTATCCCTCCTCCTTAATCTATCATCAATGATTTCATGTAACCCACCTATGTTCCTCCTTTGATTGAAATATATAAATACAAATGTAACCCTGCCATTCTCCGGAGCATTATCTCAATTCGTTGAGGTTCTGTTTCCTGGCATATGTCGACAGTTTGGCTCAAATAAACTCACCAAAAATTCTTTACAGGTTTCAATGGTTTTTTACATTAACAACTGTAATAATCTGAACAATAAAGATTTAATTAAGAAAAAAAAGACAAATGATACCATTCTCATTTTGTCTGTTTAAATGTTACAGAATGGACAGGAAATAAATTTGTCTCTTAAATTTGAGAAATAAATTGCTTAAGTGCTGAAAGAAAAAAATAAATAAATAAAAAGATAACATTGGAATGTGATAAGTATCATGCTGGAGGCAAGCCCAAGGTGCTCCCCCCCCCCCAAAACCTTTATAATCCTTTAAAAAATATCTTTATTGTTGAAAGTATTACATATGTCCACTTCTCCGCCCCTCCAATTAAACCCCTCCAGCCTGCTCCTACCTGCCCCCCTTCCCAGGCTTTCACAACCTAATTGTCCATGTCCATGGGTAATGCATATTTATTTATTTATTTATTGTCTTTGGTTGCTTACCTCCCCTGCCTTCCCTCTGAGATTCTGCACTCTGTTCCATACTTCCATGTCTCTGGATCCTCTCTGTTCATCAGTTTATTTTATTAATTATATTCCACATATGAGTGAAATCATGTGATAATTGTCTTTCTCTGACTGCTTATTTCACTCAGCCTGATACTCTCCAGGTCCCTCCATGCTACCTCAAAGGGTAAGAGATTATTCTTTTTTACTGCTGCACAGTATTCCATGGTATAAATGTACCACAGCTGTTTTAGCCACTCATCTACTGATGGGCACTTAAGCCCAAGGTGTTTTGTAAATACCAGGGAGAGGCACTTTGGCAAGTCCTGGGGCTTCACAGGATGCTTCCTGACCAAGATCATGTGCCATTAGTAGGTGAGGCCCAGGACAATGGTAGAGGTTTGGGTGGTGAGTGGAGTGGGAGAGCTGTGTAAACAGATAGAACAGCACGGGAAAAGGATCAGAGATAGTGTAATCGGACACTCAAAGTGTCGGGGCTGCCTGTCACTACTTGAGCCACTTCAGCAGAGACAGGGTTGAATCATATATGAGTGTTTATTCCTATACTGACAGCAGCATGGGAGAGCAGCAGGTCATCCACAAAAATCTGCTTTTCAGCCCCCTATAAGCCAGCTGCTTATCTGTGGTAAAAGTAGGGATTACAGGCAGGGAGAAGTAGGAGGCTGGGGTGGGAATCCATTGTTTGGGCAACAAGGTTGTTAATTTTTTCATTATAATAGGCTGTTCTTGAAGGAGAATGGACCACATTCCAAGGTTGACTCCCTGGTCCAAGATTGACCCCCAGGTCCCGGGGGCATACAACTCTTAACCAGGTCAGAATGTCCTTTCTTGAACCAACACAAGGCAATCATGGTTAACAGAGCACAATTAATATTTCCCATAACCATAACTAATCCCCCAACATTCCATTTTTTCCCCCTCTAATCATAGCAGCAGCCTCTGTCTCTCCTTTGATCTATTGTCCTGCCTTTGACCTTCCTACACAGATTTCTTCCTAGGGCAGCAGTGTCCCTGGCTCTCTCAATCCTGGGAGAGAAAAGATGATTGGACCTCTTCACTAGCCAATCAAGCCCTCCTAACGCCATACACCAGCTGCACTCACATCCCTAGGTTCTCCTTGGCCCACCAGACACACATGTACCCTTGAAGACCGTCCATCAATACAGGATCCTAAAAGAAGAGTCTTTACACCCATTACCCAGTTACATACCAATAATAATATAGGGCTATTCTTCAAAGGAGGGATTGAAAATATTTTAGTGTTTAAATGGTGGAAGTCAGTGTCTGTGGCAGACGGAATTTACACCTCTCTATCAAACAAACCACCCTAAATGCCTATTCCTGACAAAAGGCAAATCAAATTCCTCCTAGGGCGCTAAGAGGACCCTCCAAAGGTCAGAGTGTTTCTCTGGTAGCAATCCAGAAAAGTGGAGAGAAGAAATCTAGCTGCTATTTAATATAGTAAATATATTTACTATATTAAATATACTTACTATATTTAAATATATTTTAATATACTTAACATCTAGCTGCTATTCCATTCTCTAACATGAGAATGGAAGCCTATCTGAATGGGCAGGGCCAGTCTCAGCCCATAGGAATATTATGTTCATAGTGGGTAGATCCTGTGAACTTTTTTTTTTTTTTTGAGAGCATCCATTCACCCAAGGAACTAGCAAGGTTAGTCACTTGTAAGTGAAGAACTGAGGTCAACTGAAAGTGAAGAACTCGAGTCCAATCTTGCTCACAATGTAGGAGGAGCCCATTCCTACCAGGGGCCTGAGAGATTTGGAAGAGGCTGGGTGAAGGCTGAGCATAGAAGAGATTTCCCTTATGGAGTTCAAGGTCAAGTCAACCTACAGTCAATAGCTCTGCTCTAAATTATAATAAAATACCACTCAACACTCAGTAGGATGGCTATATTTTTTAAAAAAACATTCATGAGATTGTTTAAAAATTGGACCCCTCGTACATTGCTGGTGGAAATGTGAAATAGCGGGGCCACGTTGGAAAACGAGAGTCACCAGATGGCCCAGAAGTTCCACTTCTAGGTACATACCCAAAAGAAATGGAAACATGTTCACACAAAAAACTTGTACACAATGTTCATAGCAGCACTATTCCTAAGAGCCTCAAACCAGAAACAACCCAAATACTCATCAACTGATGAATGGGTAAACAAAATGTGGTATACCCATACACTAGAATACAGCATACATAAAACTTTAAAATGTTATGCTAAGTGAAAGAAGCCTGTCACAAAAGACCAGATATTATGACTGCATTTATGTGAAATGCCCCCCCCCCCATAGGCATATCCCTGGAGACATATCCATACAGAAAGCAGATTAGTGACTGCCTGGGGCTAGGGCTGGAGGACAGGGAGGGGGCACTGGGAAAGAAAGGCCACTGTTAACGTGTATGGGTTTAAAGTCCTACAATTGGCTCCTCTCTGAGGGGGTGTGGCTAGGCCCTGGGGGCGTGGCTGGACTCCTGGGTGGCACAAGCCAGTTTAAAGCCTGTCGGAGGCACAGCAGCCCAGGCTGTAGTGGCTATTACACCTGGAGGCATGGAGGCCTTCTCTTGCCTCTGCGGTGTGGGCTCTTTACGGGGTTGTAGGTGTCATCAGAAGCGCCAGAGCCCAGCTGAGACAGCAGCAGCTGATGGCAACCAGGCCCCCGCAGAAAAGCAAGTCGAGGCAGATGCCACAGCTCGGCGCTGTGCGGGGAGTGGAGGAATCGCGAGCCCCATGCCGCCCCCGCACTGCTCCCTGCAGGACTTTCCCGTGGAGATGCTGGTGGAGATCTTCGCCTCGCTTCCCGGCAGCGACCTGCCCAGCCTGGCCCAGGCCTGCACCAAATTCCACCACATCCTGCACATCGACAGCATCTGGAGACGGCGCTGCCGCGAGGAGTTTGGCGAAGTCTATGCGAAGCTGTTCCCATACAGACACATTTTGGGATTGTGGCAGCTAAATTACAGCTATAGAACGCTGCTGAATGTCGTGGTGGACGGCTTATGCATTACTGGCTGGGCGTACAGGCCTTCCCTTAACACCCATGTGCGTGGCCCAATACATTTCAAGCCCTCGTTCAGAATTCGCCTGACGGAGAGGAAACCAGCCACGGTGGAGTGCATGGAAGGCCTCCACAGCAGGCCCCACCACCGCCACATGCAGACTCAGAAGGACAGGTTCACCATCCAGTGCATCAAGACAGACCACCGAAAGGATTCACCAACGCGGCCTTGGGACGAACGGGGGCGGGTGCTGGTGCAGGAGGACGGACAGCAGTATGACTGCCTGACCTACCGCCGCCTCTACCTCCCGCCACGCCACCCGGACGACCTCATCAGGCCAGGCCTCTTCCAAGGCAAATACGGCCTAATGATTGCCATGCTCAGCTTCCATGGGAAGTATGCCAGGGTCACCAATATCACGGGAGACTCCAACGGGATGTTAGAGATCCACCTCATGCGCCGCATCCAGCTGCGAGATGGCGAGATCTTCCGCAACTTCAACAAGCTCTCCCGCGTGGTCCAGGAGATTGACGAGCTGGTGATCCCGGAGCAGCGGCAAGAAGACGGGACTGAGGAAAGCCAGGGCCATGGCTGGCAGAGCCCTGCCCAGCCCAGTGTCGGGGAGGCCGGGGCTGCAGCTTCGGAGGAGCAGCCTGTCCGGTTTGTTCTGCCTGTGGGCGTGCGCTCAAGTGACCAGAACTACCCCCGCACCTGCAGGATGTGTTTCTATGGCGTGGACACTGTTACTGTTAGCTTACATGGCTTCACCTACACCTGGCGCCACCCTGGAGTCTTCATCCTGTTTGATGAGAACCACTTCGGGTTCATCTGGCTGGAGGGGAAACACTTCTTCCTGTACGTCAGAGTCCAGGACACCTTCCAGAATGTGGAGGCGCCATCCCCGCAGGCCTTCCTGGAGATGCTCAAGGACATTCAAACCGGACCCCCTGGGGGGAGCAGCTTGCATGCACTTTGAAGATTTGACCTTCTGCCCAGGTTACCCACCTTTGTTTGTTTTTTTAATCCTCACCCGAGGGTATTTTCCCATTAATGTTTAGAGAGAGTCGGGGAGAGAGGGAAAGACAGAAATAATCGATGTGAGAGAAACACATCAGTTGGTTGCCTCCTGCCCAAGCCAGGACCAGGGCCAGGCTGGGTAAGAGCTACTGAGGTAGAAATAAACCTTAAACCAGTGGTCTCAACCTTCCTAATGCTACGACCCTTTACAGTTCCTCATGCGGTGGTGACCCCCAATTTCATTGTTACCAATTGAACATAATTAAAGCATAGTGATTAATCACAAAAACAATATGTAATTATATATGTGTTTTCCGATGGTCTTTGGCGACCCCTGTGAAAGGGTCGTTCGACCCACAGGTTGAGAACCGCTGCCTTAGACCTTTCCATCCGCAGGTCCAGGCTCTATCCACTGAGCCAAACCAGCTAGGGCTGAGCATTTCTTTTTAAAAAGAAAGAAAGAAAAAGGAAAGATCCTAAAATTAGATACTGGTAATTGTTAGATTGTACAACTCTGAATATAATAAAAACCACTGAATTGTACATTTTATTTTATTTTATTTTTTTAATTAAATCTTTATTGTTCAGATAAAAAAAAGAAATTTATATGTTAAAATCGGAATCTCTAGTATCTCAGAATGTGACAGTATTTGGAAATAGGATCTTTAAAGAGGTAATTGAGGTAATATGAGGGGGTCTTTTGTGGGGCTTAATCCAATATGTCTTGTGCCTTTAAGAAAATGTGAGACACACCAGACATGGGTACACAGAGAGGAAAGACCATGTGAGGACATACCAAGTAGGTGGTCATCTGAAAGCCAAAAAGAGAGGTCTCAGAAGATAGCAAACCTGCTGACATCGTGATCTCCAACTTCCAGCTAGCAGAACTGTGAGAAAATAAATCTCAGTTTTGTAAGCTACACAGTTTGTGGTATTTTTTTATGGAAGACCTAGCAAGTTATTATAGTGACTAAATTGAAATTGTCTGAGTAGTAGAAAGTGGTAAAAAGCCACAAAACATGCAAAAATCTATTGTATGCTTTGCCCTATTTAAGATAGTGCTTCTCAGAAAATTAATGAATTATCAACTACTTTACTCTAAGTCTAAGACAAAATGCAAATTTGCTTCCCCTATGTTCAACAGTATGTCCTACCAACAAAAATTTAAAATATCAATTGTAAGTAATATATAAATTAAAGTATAGAAAAGATAACTTATATACACCCGCAGAATAAAGGTATTATTGAAAATTTGCCTTATGTGAAAAATATAGTCTATCTTTGTTTATTTATATAATGAACACTTAAAGTCATTATTTGGTAAAACATTTCTTCATGTTTATATGGTTATATTTGACTAATTAAAAAACCCTAAGTAAATACAGGATTTTAAAAGTAAACTATAATAAGTTTGAATAGTTTTGTGCATTTATAAATAACATATTTCACATAAAAATTGCCCAGTTTCATTTATTGATTACAGATAATGGAAATCCTTATTGGCTTTGCCTTGAGAGAAATTTTATTTACAATGACTTTGGTTGCAGATAAGCTTCACTTAAAATTTCAGGGCTGTCATATGTGAACGGAATGCTCTCAATCTTTATGACAGTAAACTGGGATTTAAGGATGATACATCCAATATTATTGTGAAGATTAATATAGTTAGATAGACACAGAGTTGTATAACAACTGATACGTAATCTTTAAGGCATGATTCCCAAAGATATTACATAGTGAATATCAGCCTTCTATTTAATAAGCAGTTGATTATTTTTAATTAAAAATTTTTTAATTTATTAAGCAAAACACTTCAGTCTGGTCAATTCCTCATTATTATTTAGTTGGTCCGTCATTATTCCCTAATGACATTGTAATCTATCCATAAACTCTACATGTAAAATTTTGTGTCTTCATGCCTCCGTCCTAATTCATGCCTGATATGCCCTCCTTACTTGCTTCTTTGCTTGTGAAGGATAGTAAAATATGCCACGCCCAAATATGCCTCTTTGACATAAGGATTATTTTGAGAAACTGCAAACCCAGGAGAAACTCTAAAAATAGAAGTTACCCTTATGTAAGAGAAATTTACATTAGAAAAGGGCCCTGTCCCAGGAGGAGAGCTAGTAGCAGAGATCACCTTTCTTTCCAGAGAGACTTATGTGCACAGTTGGGCAACTTTGGTTTCAACCCATGAAACAGGAGATCACCAGTTTGATTCCCAATCAGGGTACATGCCCAGGTTGGGGGCTCGATCCCAGGTAGGGTGCTTGCAGGAGGCAGCCAATCAATGTTTCTCTCTCATCAATGTTTCTATCTCTCTACCGTGCTCCCTTCCTCTCTAAAGTCAATAAAGACATATTTTAAATAAGTAAATAAAATTACTCTTCAAATAAATTTTACTAAATAGACTGTATTGGTGTTGAACTAGCTTTCTAAGGCCAACCTGGAGCTACTCCTACCCAGGGTGCCACATCAGTAAACCAAAAGTTATATAACTTCCGTGTCCCTGTAAATGCTCACCTCAACTAGAAATGCATTATATTCAGGCAGTCAGTCCCCAAACACGAAGATAATGCTGGGCCTTCTCACACTAAGCATGGTTGACTCTGTGGCCACTGCCAACCAGATATTTTCTATTTTTGTTCATTGTTTTGTATTCTTTATCCAATAAAAACTTTCTGCCTTCTGACCCATGATATAGTACTGACTCAGGGTTGTTTTATTGAGCAGGGTTATTTCTTTCCCAGGTCCTTGTCCAGATGGATTCCAAGAATGAAGCCACAAATAAAATATGGCAGGTGAAAATTACAGAAAGTTTATTGCAAGCAAACACTACCTCTAAAACCTTAATTCTAAATTCTAAGCCTTAAACTCTGACCCTCTTGGTGCAGAGGGGCAGAGGAGCCACCTAAGAAAAAGTGTCCTCTCAGTTCCTAATCCTAAGACTGTCCCTCCTGGATGGACAGAGGGGCCCCAAAGAAGGGTGATCACTGCTTTCTTTGTCTTGTGGTATTAAATAGGCTGGAAATCCTCCTTTCAACCATGAGACCTTAGCCCTGTAATCAGCTCCCATGACCCCCACATCCATACTTTTTCTTGTTTGGTCATCTGATCTGTTTAGGTTGGAGTCGCTTTTGATTGATCTTGTGGTTTTCTCCCAGTTGTGCTGGCAGAGATGTCTTATCTTATAGCTCTCCCAGCTGCTCAGGTCAGGGCTACTGTTGGTCTGACTTATGGTCACTTTAGTTGCTCAGGCCAGAGATACCCCTGTCTGTCCTTGGTTTATGACTGTTTTAATTGCTCAGGCCAGAAATATTTCTATCTGCCTGTGGCATTTCTCTATCCTCTGTACAAGTAAGATAAGCATCCCGGCGTCTTCAAGTCTCTATCTATGTATTCCTCTCCCATGGACCCTCCTCATTCCATAAACCTTCCTAATTAAGCTAGCTAGCTAACCCTTTCAGTTCTCTGAAAGACTATCCACTTCATGAAGTGTTTATACATGATGGAAGAATCACCTAAATTTTCTACTTTAATCACTTTTATTAACAATTGGTTGCAGGCTAATTGTTATATATGTCGAGTTTTCTTCATGCAACCAAAATTTTTTTAATAAATCTTTATGGTTGAAAGTATTACATATGTCCCTATTTCTCCCCCATTGCCCCTGCCTCGGCCCCCCAGGCCTTCACCACCCATTGTCTATGTCCTTGAGTTATGCATATACTCATATGAGTTCATTGCCAACCAACAATTTTGAGCACTTCCCATTTCCAGGGCACTATTACAGGTTTAAAAATCAGTGAATTAGCAATATGGCTTCCTTGTTCTCGTAGACCTTGCATCCAGACCTTGAAGATGTATAAAACACAAATAAGCAAATTAACAAAATATTTCAGATGGCTATATGTGAATAAAATAGAAAAAAATATATACAATTTAATGGGTAGTGGTAGAGGTTAGGGAGGCTTCTGAGAAAGAGCCAAACATGAATTAGAAAAGATCAAGCATTCCAGGCAGAGAGAAGAGCAATGCAAAGGCCTAATGCAAATAATCTTGACATATTCAAGGAAGAGTAAGAAAGCAATAATGCAGTCCTTATTTAAATCAAGTGCCATTCAAATATAATTGTAGGCTTTATGGTTTCTTTTCTAAAGAGGCTTACAATAACAATGGGACATGATATTGGATACTGGAGTGAAATCACTTGCATCTGTACTCAACAGACTTCAATGTGTGCTGTTGGAATTAGAGAAGACCAGTTTTCTTCACAGCCTCTATTTCTGAATCAGGGAGGTTGGAACTGAAATAGAAGCAACAAAAGACTAAACCTGACTTCTTCAAGGCAGGAATCCTATTAGGACAACATCTAAGAAATTAGTAATATACTTTACCAAGTCTGTGGATGGATATCTTATATAATAAAAGCCTAATATGCAAATTGTCCTCTTGACTGGGAATCTGGCCACACTCACTGCATCTCTGCTGTACTCAGGTGGAGGGGGCACACACAGGGGCTTGGGTGCCCAGGTACTGCCCAGGGTCCAGAGGTCTGGGACCTGCCCTTCCACGCTTGTGCTTCGATAGCCAGCCAGGCCTAAGGACCACACGCATGCATGAATTTCATGCACCGGGCCTCTACCTTTAATATAGATAGATATAGATATAGATATAGATATAGATATAGATATAGATATAGATATAGATATTACTGTTTTGTTCTTGTCTGCTTTCTATTTTATCTACATGACTGCTTTTCTATGAGTGGAGTTTTCAGTATGTCTTTTCCTCTATTCTATATTTCTCTTATCCCATGAGATATGTAATTTTTCTTCATTATTCATGATTTGTCAATTTATAAATATATCTTGTTGAAATTTTTTAGATATACACTATATTTTAGAATTGTTACACTGAGAATTGAAGAGAATACATATCTATTTTAAACAGAGAATTATGAGACTAATTTCTCTGTTCTCAAAATTATAATTTAACTAATGTATTCTAAAATGTCACTAGATTTTACTTTTTAGCTTTGTTGAATCATCAAAGTTTTTAGTAAGTTAAGTATATGGAAAAAGTGAATATATATCTATCTCTGTCAAGTCCTTTCATTTAAAATCATACAACAAATTATAAAATTACTGTAGCAAAAATATTCAACTGTCTCTTCCTAAACTCCATGGCATGACTTTTTAGCCTCACTGCTCAAATATATTTTATGGATATCTCATCTACAGTTTCTCACCTTTCCCAATTGACTGTAAGTCTGAGATTTCTCACACCGGGCAAATAAGAGTTCAGGCCATAGCACAAATAATCTGTCAATCACTTAGCCAGCAATGAGAGAAACATTGTTCTTCCTCTACAAGGAGCCAAAAAAACTGAAGCCCCTAGCAACTCCCAAGTGTAATTTATGCTATCAAAGAACATACTGAATATAATCCTTGAAAAGGAGGTGCTAGATATGTTGAGTCTTAAAAAGTATACCCTGACCCTCAAAAAACAACAATCAAATATGATTTTCTCTGATTATCTTTTAGTTTAACAACAGTAAGAACTCTGTTCACTGTTTTGACAAATATTCTGATACCCTGAATGGCAAGCTGGAACTCTCATTAAAGGTTCTTGTCCTATGAAGTTTAAAGAATAAAATTCACTGACTAAAAAATTTTAAGCAAAAGCATGGAAGTTTATTGCAAGCATATACAAACTCCCCCTGGGGAGGGATTCCCCTTTGGGGAAAATTTGATCTCCCCCCCAAATGGGAAAAACCTAGTCCAGTGAGTCTCTTTGTCTACGGGTTTATAAATGCTCATAGTTTCTTTATCTGTTCATCTCACTTTCTAATCGGACCTTTCCTTATTTTTATGTCCCCTGTCTTTTTCCTAATTGGCCACTTTCCTTTTCCCTGCATGGTATCAGTTTCAGTTTCAAAGCTCACCTGGTGCCCCCCTCTGCTTCTCCCCCATATCTTTTAACATTCTTGTAAGCAATCAGGTTGCTTGGAGTTTCTCTGCCCATCATGTATGCATCCCTTTCCCAAGAACACCCCCCCACATCACCTTTTCCCTAAAACTGCCTTTCCTATCTCTGAAATCCTCTTAATACTAAACTAGACTAAGGAGAAAGTTTCAAGGGAAAATTGGAGGTCTATCAAACCCACATCAGCCTAGCTTGATTCTAAAATTGTTATTATTATTAATAAAGTTTATCTAGCTTATCACATGAGACATTTTCAACCTCCACATTGTTTTAAACTTTCATGATGAAATGTATAGGGGTAGGTCTTATGCATTACAAGTATATAATGCAAATTATTTTTCAACATTAGCAGGAATCACATGAAGCATCCTGGAGAATATGGAATAATGGGCTAGTAATGTTCCCCTGATATCCTGTGGAGAAATATGCTTTTATCCAAGGTGCAGCTGAATCAATCTGGGTTGTGTCTTAAAAGGAAAAAAATAACATGTACACACACATTCCAGATGATCATTCATATTCATAAAACATATTATTAAAGTAGAAAAAGTATAACTTCTAGTATTTGATATAAACATGTTGGTTGAATTGATAAGTTTAAAATATCCATGAATTAATATTTGGAAAACTAAATGCAGGTGATATATATTCCAAAGTGATTTTATTTTATTAATTCAATTAATTGAATGTAAGAAGATAAACATTTCATTATATGACAAATATTCATTTTTGCCTGGTGTTTCATTGCAATTATAAAGGGGAAATTTTGTCTCAAACTTTAAAAAAAAAACAACTGACCACTTACATATATTCAAATATTTACAAACTATAGCAAAATAATTTCTGGTGATGTTAATTTAGTTTGTTCTTTCAGGTTAAATATTCATTTAAATTTATTTTCCATAAAATTTAAAAATATTCCTTATTTAAAAATTTATTGATTTAATGCATAATTTGAAACCATACACTGAAAATAAGTTTTAAAGAGTTTAATAGTTATAAAACATACTTTATCAATAGAAATTTTAAATTCAAATAATTTCTATCATTCCATTAAAATACTTTTTATATTTTGATGGTAAACTGAAGTTTTCATAGTACAAGGCAAATATGATTATTAATTCAGTTGAATTTTGCTAAGTGGTTGACATTTTATATCATCATTCTACTCCATTAGAATAAACATAACAACTCTAAAAAAACTCTTAACTATCCAATTGCAAATTTTGCTCTTGGTGAGTCAAATTAGTTGATTAACTGAAGAAAACTGCAGATAAATTTACAATAAGAACAGTTTTGCCACAGTTAGTACTTCGCAGTTCTACAAATTCTGTAATATTAGAGGCAGTTTTGAAAAGTCTAACTACCATGCCACTGCAAAGGCTCAACAACCCAGCTGACTTGCCAAATAGGATGCCTTTTTCTCATTAATCTGCTCATACATCTAGAAGGTGTTGTTTTTACTAATTCATAGAGAAATCCAATATCCTCCTATCTAATAAAAGAGAAACATGGTAATTAGCCATACCTCCCTCCGCTACCCTTCGCATTGGTTAATCAGCGAGATATGCAAATTAATATCCAGCCAAGATGGCGGCTAATTTGCATATGTCAGCCCCAAGCCATGGACTGAGGCTTTAGGCCTGGGTCAGGGAGGAGCCAGCCAGCGATTGTTGAGCCAGCAATCCTTGATGGCAGCGGCAGGGAGCTGGGGGTGCCCCGGCCCAGGCCTAAAGCCTCTGGTCTGAGCAGCAAGCGACACTTGATGGCGGCTGTGGCAGGGAACCTGGGCGGAGCCAGCAAGCGATTGGTGGTGGGGAGCTGGGGTTGCCCTGGTCCAGGCCTAAAGCCTCGGCCTGAGGCTTTAGGCCAGGGCCGAGGCGGAGCCAGCCAGCGATCGTTGATGGCAGAGGCGGCGGCGGGGAGCTGGGGGTGCCCCGGCCCTGGCCTAAAGCCTCCTCCAGAGGCATTAGGCTTGGGCCGGGGCGAGCCAGCCAGCGATCCTTGATGGCCGCTGCTGCGGGGAACTTGGACGGAGCCAGCCAGCGATTGATGGCGGGGAGTTGGGGGTGCCCCGGCCCAGGCATAACACCTTGGCCTGAGGCTTTAGGCCTGGGTCAGGGAGGAGCCAACCGTGTCGTTGATGGCAGCGACGGCGGGGAGCATAGGGGGGGTGGCGGCCCAGGCTTAACACCTCAGCCAGAGGCTTTAGGCTTGGGCCGGGGCAGAGCCAGCCAGAGATCATTGATGGAGGTGGCAGTGGCTGTGGGGAGCTGGGGGTGCCCCGGCCCAGGCCTAATGCCTCGGCCTGAGGCTTTAGGCTTTGGCCAGGGAGGAGCCAGCCAGCGATCCTTGATGGCAGTGGCGGGGGGAGGGCTGGAGCTGGGGGTGCCACGGTCCAGGGCTAATGACTCGCCAGAGACGTTAGGCCTGGGAAGGGGCCAAACGGGCAATTGGTGTGAACTACAGAGGAAACACCTTTTCTGACTGCTGATTGGTTAAGCTCCCTGTATGCCACTAGTAATATTCTTAGTAACTTGGGTAATGAGAGTCCAAATAGGTGATCTAGGGTTTTTTACCACACTCCTGGAGAAAAAAAGGAAGGTCTGCTGCTGGAGGGTTAAGAAATGTCATATCCTGTCCTAGCCAGTTTGGCTCAGTGGGTAATGCCTCGGCCTGCCCAACGCAGATTCTGGGTTCAATTCTGACCAAGGGCAAGACCTAGGTTGCAGGTTCCTCCCTGGCCTTGGCCCAGGTCAGGGCTCATGCAGGAGGCAACCAATCAAAGTGTTCCTCTCACTTTGATGTTTCTCTCTGTCTTTCCCTTTCTCTTCCACATTCTCTAAAAATCAATGGAAACATATCCTCAGGTGAGGAGAAAGAAAGAAAGAAAGAAAGAAAGAAAGAAAGAAAGAAAGAAAGAAAGAAAGAAAGAAAGAAAGA